GAGAGGTCAGTTACCACATGCCTTCTTAAAAAACAAATTATGGCATTCGGGTCCCGCGTGGTTGACAAAAAACGATAACGACTGGCCTAAACAAATCCTACAGACCATCGAATTACCAGAATTAAAACAAAATATATGCTTAGTCGCGACCGTTATCGATCACAGTATATTAGAAAAATATTCGTCCTATTCTAAACTATGTCGAGTTATAGCTCATTGTCTTCGCTTTCGGCCGAATAGCACATACCGAGGACCGTTGCGTCCTGAGGAAATAGATAAGGCAGAGTTACGAGTAATAAAATTACTTCAAGCATCTCATTTCTCCGACGAACTTAAGAAACTAAAGGATAAGCATCCGTATCGGGGCAAATTAAGCAATTTAAGCCCATTCATTGACCAAGACGGCGTACTACGCGTCGGAGGGCGTCTCCAATCCTCAAATTTGACATTTTCACAAAAACATCCAATGTTACTCCCTAGCCGGACTCACGTCACCGATCAGATCATCCGCGAAACCCACGAACGTCATTATCACACCGGGATACAAAATACGCTATATATACTTAGGCGGAAATACTGGCTGCTCGACGGCAAAAATCAAGTTCGAAAAATTGTGCGTACATGCGTGCGTTGCTTACGCTTCGATTCTCAGACGGTCGAGTACAAGATGGGTAATCTACCTTCGCCTCGCGTATGCGAGACAATACCCTTCACAAATACCGGTATCGATTTCTGCGGTCCCTTTTATATGAAAGAGAGAAAACATCGAAACCGTACGAGAGTCAAGGTTTACGTATGCGTATTCGTATGCATGACTATAAAGGCTGTGCATATGGAAGTCGTAAGCGATTTAAGTTCCGAAGGCTTCATAGCAGCATTACGACGATTCGTCGCGCGACGCGGCCTACCAAAAAACATCTATTCCGACAACGGGACTAACTTCGTAGGAGCGAACAATAAATTGAAGGAATTATACGTCTTGTTCAATTCCAGTGAACACATAGAGCTCATTAACCGATATTTAAATAATCATCATATCACGTGGCACTTCATACCGCCTAGCGCTCCTCATTTCGGCGGGCTTTGGGAGTCCACGGTTAAGCTCTTTAAACATCACTTTAAGCGCGTGGTGGGCGATTCTTTGTTTACATTCGAAGAATTAAACACATTTACCGTCGAAATAGAGGGCATTTTAAACTCCAGACCCTTGACGTCCCTTTCCTCCGATCCGAACGACTTGCATGTACTCACGCCCGCTCACTACTTAATCGGCAGACCATTGACGGCCCCTCCCGAGGGCGAATTGCTATCTGTTCCAGCAAATCGACTGTCGACCTGGCAACACATAAGCAAGGTACGACAAGACTTCTGGGCGCGCTGGCATCTGGAATACCTAAACGAACTCCAAAAACGCGCCAAATGAA